AAAAGCCTTTTGTTTTAACAGTCCAGAGCTTAAATCATTGAACTAATTTAAGAGGATGTTCAGGAGTAGCCAAACTGAGAGAAACTAGGCCAATAGCTTAATGCCAAGCTTGGCCTTTGGTCCTTAAATTAGGATTGCCAGGAGCTCCAAGACTGCTTGGGGAAGTGTGTGTAAACAGCCATCTATTTTATAGAGATGTTTTTTTTGGAACCTTGTGCATTACAATATAGTGCAGTATATATCGTGCTTTGATTTCAATTTGATGTAAAAATACAAATTTTCTGTCGATTAGAAATGCCAGAGAATTCTGAGGCCCTTGTGGAGTAGAGATTTAGTGTGTTAGGAAGCACATTGGAGCGTTGCTTTTAACAGCTGAGCAGGGACATCTAACAAAAGCACTTGTATTGATAAGGGAAGTCAAACAGTGAAAGCAAACCACTGACATTTAGCTCTTTTGTATAAAATTGCGCTTTTTTTGTTGTTGTCTTCATGTGCTTTATGGTTGTGGTGTGGGTTGCTATTGTTGGTGTTTTGGCACATAAGGCACAGCTGTGGCTTCTGTTACGTGACTGGGGGTATCTCTGCTTTTCCTCTCATTTGTGGCCAAGAGAGATAGTTGTTGATATGAGGGGAATGAGGAAGTATGAAGTCACCAGTTACCCACAGCAGAAACCCCTTAATAGGAAGTAGGAACCTATTTAACCTGCTCTGTCATCTGCAATTTGCATTTAATAATGCCTAAACACACCATTAAGTAGAATGCCTATGCTGAACTTACAGCAGCAAACCAGTTAAACAAATTATTCTTGTTACACTCTGGCAAGACGGAAGTCATTGGCCCCTCTTGGAGGCATTGTTGTAGACTGTGCACTTCAGAAGAGGAGGAGAGCACTCCAGAAAGGGCTGTATTTCAGCCCCCTAGCTTACTGTGTCGCCCAAAGCAGTGATAAGATTTCACATTACTAATGGATAAAGTAAGAGCAACCCAAATACCATTAGTGGCACATACGCAAACTTAGTGCTGGCAGCAGGGTTCATCAGTTGTCAAGGAGATAATAGGAAGACTTAATGACAGATACACTCCTTTGCCTTGATGGACATAACCTGGAATGTGGTTGATGTGTAAGAAAGTAAATCCACCTTTCACGTTCACTTTCCGAAAGAGCCTTCAGTAATTAGTCAGCAGACACGACTGTCAGTGAGGGAGAGCTGCAAAGCAGGAAGGGTGTTCATTTTAAAGTTTTACTTTTTAGAGTGGAAATGAGCTCCTGCGCTTTTTTGGGTAGAAGTAGAGTTTTAGGCAACAATGTGTGTTCTTTTATAAACGTGTTAGTTTGTGCTGAGGCACTGGCAGTCTTGCATCTTAAGGGAATGATGATTTTACTGTTTGAGGCAATTAAATGTCATCGGAAAAAATGGTGGCCATGAATATTTCCTAATGAAGTACTTCCATAGCTCCCTTAAGGAACTGCAGCTTTGATTTTCTTTTCCAGATGACTGGTAGATACGAAATGTATGCAGACAAGCTCACCGAAGCGGTCCAGCCTTATTTTATACCCAATATCATTAAAGAGTAAGAGAGATCTAATGAGATGCTTCTCGTTACAGTTCAATGTTACGTCACAAGTTAAAGTCTTGTTGGATGATAGCTTTACTGTGGATTATAAGTTATTCTTTTCATGTTGCATTTAAATTTCCTGTAACCAGCTTTTAAGTAACAGGATTCAAAACTGTTAAGTAAAGCAATTGAAAAAATGGCTTCTTGTGCATTTGTCATTTATACTGACTCCAAACTTTTGTTCCTTACTAGAGATAGACCTAGTGGGAATACATTCATAAATGACGGTGAAATATATTCAGTACTGTATACGGTGATATAGCTTGATGGAGATAATGAGTTCAGAGGACATAAACATATTTATGTAAGCTTTGCAGTTGGTCTCTATTTACTTCTGCTTTCTAGTTTTTACCCTCTACTCAAATGGATAATTCAGGAAGAAGAGAGCCATAAATTAGTTTTATCTTTTTTTGTTTGGTTTGGTTTGGTTTTTTAAAATCACAAACTACTTGATGCAGTTCTCTTATTGCTAAGTAATGCCCCAGATAATGCCTAGTTGTAGCACAGCTGGACCAATGTCTTTGAGGGGCTTCTTCAAGGTGCAATAGTGCTGCAGGTGGATGCTTTTAATGCCTTCAGAAGCTCAGTGCTGTGTTGTCAGGCAAAAATAGCAGCAGTGGCTGAAGCACAGGCAAGGCTGCTGTAGTTGTGTAATTTTCATTGTGAACAGAAAGCCATGGAGATGCTATTAGGGAAGATGATACTTCCCTGGAGCTGCACTCCAGTAGGATACTCAGTGATTGTGGAGTACACAAAACAGCTGTTGAATACAGATAATAACAAAATACATGTGCTATTCTCAGCTACTTGTGTATATTGACATTTGGTTTGCAAGATTCAGGTGGTGCAGTAGGTGTTCAGGAGGTGCAGAATGAATACAGTTTCCAGCCTAGCAACTATGAAGTTACAGCTCAAATAAGTATTTGAACTCCTGTTTCAGCTGAGCCATTTCCAGTTAAGTACAGAACACATCCTCTAAAGATTTTCCAACATTTTTCATAATCTAGTTAATAAATGCACCTGCTATATTATGTTACAGGGTTATCTGTGACTTTACACCTTTATTGAGAATGGCTTAATTACAAATAAAAATATATTTATGTATAAAATCCCTGCATGTAAAATACCCCTTCCTTTGCTATTGACATCATGAAGGAAACAGTGACAGAACTTTTCAGAATGAGTATTTATCTTGATAGACAATCTTGTAATGGGAAACAAAGTTTTAGAAAATGCAGATGTTCTGAATGCTTGTGCAGTGAGCTGAATTTATGTCATATAAATACTCAGGTCTTTTCATTTGGCTTCTCCTTCCTTGTGTTTTCATCTCTCATAGCTATCTTCCATTTGGTGGCTGTAAGTGATCCTTTAGCAACGGTGGAGCTCTCATTTTGTCTCTATTAGGCTTTGTTACTTTATCTTGCAGTTTTGTTCAAGTATTTAAACCCTGGGTACCAAACATTTAATAGTCAATATTGTTAGACCTATCTGTGCACTTCAGAACACTTTGCATGTCCTTAAGTTCGTTTCATGAGATTTGCAGTTGGATAACTAAACCAGTAAGAGGCTAAATGTCAACTACAAGCCTTTTATAAGAATTGGTTTTATTTAGCTAACCAAGCCTGCTCTAAGATAGATCCTGTGGCAGTTTAGTGGTATTGAATGAACTACCTACCTGAAAATGCATGGGTTAAGGAAGTACTCTATCAACCTGTAGTTTACACACCTGTTAATTAGTAACATAGCTAACACAATCTCTCTAAATCAAACATCATGAATTTGGCCTTGGACACAAAAATCCCCAGATCAGTGGTAGCCTTCTGGTGACTTACTTTGGAGGAGTCTGAAGGCGTTATCTGTAACAGATTTTGTAGCTTTTTTTGGGGATTCTGCTGATGGCACTAGTGTACTGGTTCTGCTGCTCACAAATTGCAGCCTCGTCTTTACTCATTTTGGAAATGTAAGTGCAAGATCGTATTCCAGGTTCACCAATGATAAGCTAAATCTGTTACACTGAAAATTTCTTGACACATACTTTTTGTCTGGAACTTCTTAAAGACTGCTGCATTTTAAATGTCTGTTTACTGTCTTCCAGCCTTTAACAAAGGAGCACTCTTGATCCTACTAAGCCTACTTACTGAACACTTTCCAGATGCTTTTCAGTAAGTCAAGAACTGATAGAAGAAAACGTTTTCTCTTAGGAAAAAATTTTACTGTGCTGAAAGTAGATTCCTATTTATTATTTCTACCACCAAATAACATTGTTCTTTTACTGGTTTACTTCAAGATAGGTAGAACTGGAGATCAGTACTTATAAGAGATTGTAATGGATCGATCTAAAATAGGTGGCCTTTTCTTAGACTTCACAATGCTCCTCAGCAAAGTAATTAAACCCAAGTAATACATGAAAGGATTATAAATGGGCTTCTAACAATTTCACTTGATAATGTCTGAATACTGTCACTCTAGCTTAATCCAAATTCAGCTGTAGTATAAGAGCTACAAAATATGCCTTTTTACTTGTAACAGAGACATTTGTATCCCTCATTTCTTTAATGGACTTCAGCTCTTCTTATGTTGCTGAACTAATACCAATAGCAATATTTGCCTCAATTTCAGCATTTTAGTTACAATCCAGTATATGCTGTCAGATATTTACAATTTACAAAAAAAACGTATACCATTAGTGTAGATTATTATTTTCTGTATCTCCTTAACAAGTTTGAAGTTCATATTTAGAATGGATTCTGCAGGAATTGGCACATAGGGGTGGCCTAATGTTTGGAGGCGTTTGAAAAGAGCAGTAAAGACTTCTAGGTACAAATAAAGTATCTTCACTTAAAACTTTTTGGGCAATACAGAGCTCTGAACAGTCATCCTAGAGGATTCAGCCAAAGAGATTGAGTCTGTAGTACAAGGGAACAATAACTGCGATTCAAAATGAAATGCAGTGGCATGAATGCTAAATCTGTAGAAGATGAGGGAAGTTTCCTTGAGTGAATGTTTCATTCCTACAATGCAGACAATACTAATGAGCTAGCAAGGCATTTTTTGATATTTCAGAGTGGTTGAAGTTAGTATTTTTTCCTTCCATAATACCCTGCTGAACTGAACCTTAATACCTGGCATTTAGGATGAAGATCAGCCCTTGATACTTTGACAGAAAGAGAAACAGGTGTTTTCTATTATTTTTCCTGGTTTTGTTTCTGTAAACCTATGCATCTATTACCAAGCGTTACAAGTTCCTAAATTTGGTGCTTTTCTCTCACATGTTTAATCTGAAAATAAGCTCAAAGTGAACAGGGTCTGGGCCTGTTTTAAAACTGCTGTCAAATGTGCAATGGTGAAAATGAGAAGAAAAAAAAAAAAAAAAACACATGAAAAAATGAGACGTACATTGCAAAAAAAAAGGTAAAGACAGCATTGCAATATTGTCCTACCAATGTCTATAAAGCCTCCCTTGTTTAAGATCCCACTGCAGTTCAGGAGCAAGGTCTCTGCAGGGGAGTCCTGAGACAAGCAGCCAGCTGCCCACAGGCTGCACAGGAAAAGGACCACAGGTAGCAGGTGTGGGTGTCAGCTGTCTGTGTAGATGAACAGAATATCTTCATCAGTGCCATAACTTGTCCTGGCTTCCTCAAAGTTACTGATGCTGGTGCAGCATGTTCCTGTCAGGAAGGAAGAGGAACAAAATGTTAGTAGAAATTCAGAAGAATATGCCTGTCAAAGGCCCTTACACTGGGTCTAGCAGCCTCTGCAAAGCAAAGTAACTAGCACACAAACTGACCCATCAGCTTAGGTTACAGCTTGACTCAGCTCTGAGCACCTCAGAGGCAATGTCACTGAAGTAGTGCTGTGAATAGATACTAAACTGGCCACCCTGCTACATTCTGCACATAGGAACAGTTCAGCACCTCTCACTAACCCATCTGAAAGCCAAAGAACTTCGCTAGATTCTGTATCGAGTAAATGGCTTGGGTAAATCCCAGGACAAAATGCAGCACTGATTCAATTAATATGGTAAGAGCCCTTCTGAGAAATGGGTTAGTGACACCTGAAATAGGTGCACACCGTTAGGGAAGTGCAGCTGTGGCTCTGTGTTACAGACGTGTCAGTGATGTGGCTGAGAATCCACCCAGAAGGGACAGGCTACTCACGGTCAGCATAGGCAGGGTTGTTGTAGTAAATACTCCCTGAGGCTTTGTTGTAGCCACATAACACAATGAAGTGGCCCTGGTAGTCGGGATTCCTGCAGAAGCACTTCTGCCCAATGGGGAGGAAGCAGCAGTATTTGACAGGACTGGAGCAAAGGTCACACAAGAGCAGGACTGCATTCACTAGGACAATGGCTACGTGACCTTGAGACAGGTGGTTTTGGATGTCTTGAACAGTTACTGTGCTGCAGAAAAAAAACAGACATGCTTATTAACAAGCTTAAGAAAGAGACTGGTGTATAATGAAGTGATGATGGACAGTACTGGCGACATGCAGCTGATGTGGCTGTCTTTCTATCACAGGTACAGCTTTTTGCTGTTAAACCATGCAAGCTTTGCTCTAAACAAAGCCTGTGTCATTCACAGCCTTTTGAGCTCATTGCTGCTACTGAAATGCAGAGCAACAGCTCTGGATTCTGTAGTAATTTAAATCTCAGAATGTGTCAGATGCCCCAGAAAAGAGTATTAAAATAGCTGGCAACTCATTCAGCAGCTTGAGAGATTGTTATTGTGGGGAAATCATAAGTGAAGTGTTCTCCCCTGCTTTTAGAACAGCTTACTTCTAAAGCACCGAATTGGTTAAAGACTGTATAATGGCCAACCAGCCTAAGATGTCCCCAAATTTGCCTGTCGCACAGGAATGTGTTTCTCCTAGTTGCAATTCTGGACTAGCTGGTGCTCTTAAGACTTTATTTCTACAGTACCTCCCACAGAGAATGAGTATTAACCAAACCAGCCATAATGTCATCTGCTCAAAGCGGTCCTTCACCAAAGCAGATGGTGCCTTCCACGTGCATTAGAAGCTCATCCCTTGGATACACTCCAGATGTCGAGGCTGTGTGTACTACCTGACTGAACTCGGGTGCTTTCTGACCTTTCCAGTGTTGTTTCTCCTCTTTGATGCCCCAGCCTCAGTCCTGCACAGGTAGATGTGCCCTTTGTCCCTGCCTTGATCAAGGCCATGCTCTTAAGGTTGCTAAAGCAAGATGGACTGACTGTCCCTTCTGTCCTGTCACAGCTCTAGTTAAACAGAGGGTGCCATACAGACCACATGTATATTAAAAAGGATACTTACTAAGTCTGCTAAATGAAAGTTGCATTCCAACATTCAAATACTGTTGTGGCTGCCCTGTACCCTCTCTTCTTACTCCTTAAGAATCATTTACCCCACTTGGTCAGCAGCAATCCAAATCCAACTGCACTATAAAAAGGCATGCAGTTCAAGTTGAACATGGACACTTGGTTATTTTCCCTGTAGAATATTGCTGTCAGTCAGGAAACAATGCTGCAGGTTTTCTCCCTCTCCTGGGTTTGCAGTTCTTTCATAGGGGTTCCTTATTTCATCCTTCCTTTGGCAAAAACTCATATGCTAGGTTTTTATTTGTGCCTCTGTCTAGGAACAGAGAGCTATGTTTGTATAGCTCTGGGGACAATGGGTTATGTGTCCAGGTAGCACTCTCAATTCCAGCCATGGCCAATGAGAATGCTGTAGGCACTCCCTGCTGAGTCATTTTAATGGATAATCAAATCCTAAACATACACAATAGTCAACTCCTGTCAGTATTTCCAAATCACTTATTCTGTGTCATGACTGTTTTTCCTCAAACTTCATTATTAATTCTTGATGTCCACTTTTTTTGTCTTTTACGACAGATAGAGTAGAAAGACTCTGTAATTTAAAAAAAAAAAAATAAAAAAGGCTCAGGGTTTGATTTCAGTCTCTTTCACCAGTTTAGCTAGGTGACTTCGAGAAAAACATGAGGCCCACAGCATCTCCAAAAGGAAAGGAAAGAAAACAAGCTTACCACTTCTCCACCAGCACCTTGCAGGCTTTGGCTTGTGCAAAGAGCTGATTCACTCGATTCTCTTCTGTGTCAAAGTGCTTCCTGTAAAATGACTGTGGAGATAACAGAAGTTATGAACTGGAATGATGTTTACTGTAGGTAATCCACCACTTACAATCCCTGCTAGCAAGGGCCTGCTTAAGTTGGAGATCTGGCTATGGGATAAGAAATCTCTCCCTTAGTTCACTGGTAACAGGATAAGGATTTCTGCTCTAAATGGTAAGTATAAATTAATTCCTGGTCAGTTACTGTTGTAATTTCCATACAGTGGCTATTCAGCTGCCTACATGAAAGAAGCCTGTTGGGTTCTTACTGGGCAGGAGCTTGCACTGGAAAAGCCATCACTACTACAGGCCCGCCCTGGGCCCCTTGCTGGCATCCTTGAAGAGGCCAAGCTCTCGATGGACATGGAGGCCGAGTTCCCCTCTCACCTCTAGAGGTGGTTCTTCCAGGTCAGGGCTGAGGCACGGTGGTGGGGAAAGTGTGGAAGCTAGCACTGCTGCTGCCCAGGCTGTACCTGTTCTGTAGATAAATAGAGGGCTTCAGTTGCCAAGGCTGTCAAATAGGCTGGAACCTTTCATGAGCACTACATGAAAACTTTTCAAAAAATTCATGTTATGGAATCAAAGATGTAAAATATGTGGGATCATACCTAGCCTCGCCTTTGGAACTGATTTGTGCCAGTTTTGGCAACAGGCAAACCTTGTTCACAGGTACCGTGGTTAATTTTCAGTAACACAGCAGAGCTTTTCTAGCATGTCACACAGGGCTTATCTGCTGGCTCCCAGGAGATAAGAATACTAACCTGATTTTTGTAGCCCTTGTCCACTCCAAGCGTCTGGGTGCAAAATTTATGCTTGACACCAAAGTGCCGCATTAGGTAGGCCAGGTCAATAGTCCAGATACTCTTTGTTAACTGGAGTTCCTGAATGGCTTTCTGAAATTCATCATTGTCCAAATGATTCAGGTACCTATGGTGTTAGGAAAGGCAGGGGAAGGGAAGCACAGATCTTAGGAGAAGCAAATTGTGTGCTGTAGCCCAAGCCTCCACATCACAGGACGTAAAAACCCAAACAGCAGGCTTGGCTAAGAAATAACAAAACACCCAACCCACAAAGGAGCCACAAATTTAAGGGAAGGAAAGGGAGGAGGGAATATTTAACTGGAATTATTGCTGACTTTTTAAAAATTGGAAATGTATGGGTGTCTTGACTGTTTAATAGTGCTGGAAGTGTACAGGTGCTGTACAATAGGCAAGCTATACTGAGCAAGTATAGAACTCTGTCCTGAAGGGCTTACAGTCTAAAGGTACAAGCATTAGAGCAAACACAGAAGTGTTAAAGACTAAACCTTGCTTCACGCAGTAGATGGATTTCAAAAGGAGGAAGTGTAAAGGAAATCAGTACACATTCAGAGGAAGCTTGTCTCGGGCACTGATGGCACAAAAGGCAATAAAGGGAAGATGAAGTCAGGAGGAAGCTTAGCACAGGTTGCAAAGGGGTGGGGTGAGGCAGTTACAGAGAGTTTTGGAAGTCAGAAAACAAATGGGCAGAAAATGGAAAAAAAGAAAAAAAAAAAAGGACTGGAACCTAGAATGCAGGGCAAAGTAGGTCAGACTGGCAGGGTGAGAAGATTAATCTTGGAAGCTGAGTTTTGGGCAGACTGGAACAGCAGAAAGGTAAAGGGGATAAAAAGGCAGAGGTTACAGTAGTCAAGATGGGAAATTACCAGCACACGGACTAACGTCTTGGCAGAAGGGATGGAGAGAAATGAAAATCTTCTGCTTCATAGCTACTAAGTGGACATCTAAATAGGTATTTCTCCTGCACCTAAGCTCATGTTCCTCTGTGGAAGGAAAGAGGAGTTCAGCAGTACAGCTACTAGTTCATAAAAAAGAAAAACCAAACCAAACCAAAACCACCCCGAAGGGCAGTACAGTGCATTGTTCTGAAGCTGAAACTACTGCTGCAATAAAAACAGTCATCCCACCAACCAGGACTCAGCAGGACAGAGGCAGCCCAAACTCAGAAGCTGGGATACACCTACCCATCGCTTCAAATCCCAGACTGGAACTGGGTGAATCGCTGTGCTAAGGATCAGTTCTGAACTAAAACCACAGGGAAGAGGGATAACGTTTCACCAGTGTACACATGCCAACCTGCAAAGTTCTTACACCCGATCAGGTATTTTGCATCTGTCAAAACAGTCAATTACTCAGAAGTGTCTGAAGCTCATCTTATTTTGTCTTCCCTTGCTGCTGCTGGAGAGCTGTGCCAGACCAAATGTAATGGTTTGAAACCTGCTGCTCCTGGTGGGTAGAGATCTGAAATCTAAAACCAGGAGCGAGCCTGAATGAAAGGGGCATAGACCTGTTCTATTCCCTCTCCCCTCTTCCTGTCTTCGGGCCTTCCTGCTGGGATCTATAAAAAGGGAGAGGAGACACAGCTCTCCCTCTCCCTCTTATCCTCTCTGCTGGGGTCCTGGCCACAGACACGCTGCTCTGCTGCTGTTTGTGGTTCCCTGTGCTGCACGTGGCCGTGGCCATCTTGGGACCTGGGCCTGATCTACAGACTCATTCCCTGCCTCCATCCACATCCAAGGATTGTGCATCCAGCTTCAATCCACCTCAATCCAGTGAGATCCAGCACCGGGGAGCCTCAGCACAGCATTTGGGGTTTGTATTTTTGGAAGTTTAACCTTCCTTGATATGTTGTTAGTATAACCCCTTTACCCTGTTAAACCCCTACCCTTCTTCCTTTCTGTTCCCTGTTAAATAATATATTTCATTCTGTTAACTTTTCAATCAGTGCAAAGCTTTCATTACCCCTGCCTTCCTTTGTTTACCTCTCTACCTGGGAGAACTAAGGGATAAGGGAGGTGGGACACAATTCTGCCTTCTAACCGGGACACCCAAGCAGCAGCAGTTCTCCAAGGGTGCCAGAGAATACGTGCCCTAGTAAGACTAACACTGCTGCCTCAACACACCTCTCCTCCCGGGAGGCTGCTTCCCGCTACCTTTCTCCCACGGGATGGGATTTCCCCCCCTTTCCAGCCAGAAGAGTCACTTACTGGAGCACCATCCTGGAGCAGGCGAGCCCGCAGTCCCAGTGGTACAGCTGCTGAATGACGGGCACCTTCAGCTGGACGCAGTCAGCTGCGGAGGAAACGGCCCCATGAGTCCCGGGCGGAAGCTGTGGCTCCGTGCAGCAGTGCTTTCCCAACCCTCAGCACCAGCAGCCAGCTTGTCCTCGCCACTGCACTGGCAGAAACTGAACGTATTTTACTTTATTGGGCTGCCAAGTATTTTTCCTTTGTTAGGGGAATGTAGCTTTGGTACTTCTGTACAGTCTCTCGTACTCTTTTATTGCTCCATACCCGGATCACTCTCCCCTGTGTTCCAACCTCTTTTCCCTGAAAGTGGCATTTTATTCTTTTTGGTGGGGTGCCATATCCACCAGCCCCTAACTGTGAAACCATATCCCCTCCTAAATAATCCAGGTACGGCACAGGCATTCATTCTGTCCCTTGCATCTGGAGGTGCTTCTGTGCCACAAAAGGAGTCAAACCAAACTGAGAAAACAGATAGAACCAAGATCTGGTTTCTTACAAGCCCTCCACGTTTAAACCTTTCTACAGATGTCTCTTTCCTCAGGGACTCTCATTTATGTAATTTTAGATTACCAAAGGTCACAAATGGCACCAGTTGGCTTTCTGCACTAACTCCCTTAACAAAGGGAGCAGGAAAACGAATAATCTCTACCAAAAGGTCCCAGGACACAAGTAACTTCATCCCTCTGCCTTTTCTGTTTTTATAGAGTTGGCAAGGTGGTGGTTTACGTTTCAGAAACACCCTTACCATTGGGAGGACTTGAGGACTTCTGTTATTGCTACCTCAGCGTCACTCAAAGTGAGTTAACAATAAAGGGCTTTTCTCAATAACCTTTGATTTAGTGAAGACCTTTGAAAAGTTTTGTTAGTGTCAACTGCATTTTGAGATGGGAACAAAAATGCATTTGACATGTGGACTGGTCTAGTTTTGATGTAATTTTATTTATAAAACTTTAGATAGTGTTGTTTGTAAACTTGTATTATTTTAACAAAGTTCCAACCTACTGTAGGGACAAGCCAATACAGATATTCTGGACTCTTTCTTTTCCAAATATTATTTCATAGTTGTGCCACTGTTTCATCATGACTTTGAAGACTGGCATACCCATTGGTATAGGCAATCTTTTTATCTCACCAAGATTAAGGTGCTCCCAAATTTCCTAAAGAAAAAATGAAAACCCACTCCCCAGATTCTCCTCAAACCATGATCTCCAAGTACTTTGTCATTTTTTCCTGGCATGTTCTGACTCTGTCCCCTTTTTGTTAATACCCAGGGCCCCTGTCAAGTCCCAGGGTTAACTGCAGAGGTGCGTGTTTCCTGCATGAAGGCTTCGAAGGGTAAGGACGTTACTTTTCTTGGGCGTTCAGCTTCCAGTCATCCTGTTTCCTAACACACCCAGACTTGTCAGGCGATGATGACTGCCAGCTGTCCCGAGATAAAGCACTGGCCGGTGTACGCTGTGGCTGTAAACAGCACTGACAGCACCGCTCCCCCAGCTCACGCACGGAGCCACTAATAACGCAT